AGGGAAACATCGAGATAAAAGATAGAAAGTGGGGCAAAGGGTCTCATATGGCAGGTTTGAGTTTGAACATCAAGAGTGGTCAGAGGCCAGTGAGTCTCACAGCTAATGCAATGAGGGAAATTACCATTGTGTTCAACAGAACTTATTCATGGCATGGGCAACTTCCTTGCCCCTCCTAACACACTTCCTGCCAAGAAATGGATAATAATCTATAAAGCATTTCATGTGCTGTACTTCCAGTGAACGCGCTTAGTAACTAACCTACCAATGTCTTTGGCCAAGGTTGTTGGAGGATCAAGGGGACCCAGTGTTGCTACAAAATTGGCAGCAGCCTGGACCTTTCACATTAAAAACTCAGCAGCTGATGCATGGCAGTGATTTGTAAGTTCCTCTGAAGCAGTCTGAAGGTCAACAGGACGTCATAAATGAAAGGGTCTTCACGTTGTCTCCTCTGAATGGACCAGGGCTGCCTCATGCCTATGCCTCTCCAGCTCATTTCTGTTACTCCCTCCCAGTGAGATCTCCTTCCTAACACCATCTTTCTGGTTTTCCAAATGCTCTTCTTCTGGACCTTGGCAGCACTTCTCCCAGGTGTCATTCCTTGACCACAGCAAGGAAGCCAGCAGCAAAACCTCTTGACACACCAGACCAAAGTGTCACATTCTTTGTCTGGAATTATTTTTATACTTCCTTGGGGGATTTGCATGGAATGAGCAGCAGAGGGAGAAGATCAAGGGAAAATTCTTCAGGGATTGAGTGTGGAATATTTGTCCCAAATCCTGGAAGAATATATGATTTCTGTTTCCTTTTACTGTCCATTTTCTTCTCACATCCCCTCCCTTTGCTCTTTCCTCCCTTTCTTCTTTCTTCTCTTTTGTCTGTTTTCTATTTTCCCTCGCCTGCTTTTACCACTGGTTAGTAATGGCGGCCTTTTATTCAGTTCTTAAATGCCAGTCTCTGTGCCCAGTGCCTCTTACACTCCCACACTGCTCTCTATCAGGTGAGTGAGAACACAGAGTAATCTGCTCAAGCTCAGTGTAGAGTAATAGGCATTTCAGCTTCGCTGATCTAACTCTCATGCCCGTGTCCTCTTAGCCATGAATTACACAGGTTTTTTTTTAGTCTATTCCATTTCACTGTTTCGGACCCTCATCTCTCCTTCTTTCCTCCCCTGCTCTCCCTCCTTCCCCCTTCTGCTCCCTCTAATTGGTACACATCTCGGGCTTCCCCTGAAAGTGATGAACACGGTACACTTGCCCAGAAGAGATAACAGACCACTCAAACTCTAATCAGCTGTTTTCCTTTTGTGCAAATGTGCTACAGTTTTCTGCATTTTGAGGTTGAAGGAGTGGGCACTTCACCACTTGGGGAGGCAAGTGTCAGTCACAAACCAGAAGGGCCTCAAGACTTGGATGGGTGTTTGATATGGTGAGGAGTGGGGATAAGTCCCTTTGATATGGTAAGGAGTGGGGATAAGTCCTTTTTCATTCCCAGGATTGGGGACACAAGGGCAGGAAAGGTCAGAGCCATGGCTGGTCTCTGTCAAGGCATGGACTCAGGAGCCAAGGAGGCCAGGGTCACGGCATGTAGCCCAAAGAGTGTCCTACCTACCACAGCAAAGGCATGTTAACAGCAAAGACGGGAAGATCAAAATTTGAATTTGAAGCCTTGAAGGGTATTTATTGTTTTTATTATTCTAAGAAGAGGATATTTATGTTCAATTCTCTTATCTTTTTGTCATCTTGCTGGCTGGGATTGGTAAGGGGTTTAAATTATGAGGGAATTTGTTGTTCATAAAGGAAGAATTCTGGAGGTAGGTGTAGGGTTGATTCAGAGACCTCAGAGCACTGATCAGTGTTTCTGAGATTCTCTGGGCACCTTCAGGAATCTTGACTCACATGATTCTGTCCACAGACAGGAAGCAGCAGGCATGGGGAGGATCATGAGAGGCTCAAGAAATAAAACAACTTTAGAGCACTCCCTGCATATTAGAGTACCCCCATACCTTGCTGGCCAAAGCTGACTGTGTTACAGACTGAGAAAGTGCCATCGGGCTTCCTTTGCTTGCTAATGGGAGGTAGGCAAGGAACACCGGATTAATTTGCCTTGGGTAGGAAAGATCAGTGCCTGTCATTCCCCACCTCCTTTCACTCAGCTGAGATTTACTGAGCACCTACTGTGAGCCAGTCTCTGGATGATAGAAGAAGATATTCTCTGTTTTCAAAATCTCCTTTCTGGAAGAACACAGACAGGTCAAAGATTACATAATATGGTGGCAAGTGTTGGGAGAAGGGCAAGCATCCTGAGTCTTATGAAGATAGCTGAAGAGGGTTAGGTTCTGAAAGCTAAGTGAGATTTAGCTTGCATGTAAGAGGCAGCTGGAAGGAGGACCACTGGGGATCTGTCAGGACTTGGCATGGCTGGACAAAGGAAACTTGGAGGACCTTCTATAGGCAGAACACTTAGAAAGCTGAGCCACGCAGTTGAAATGACTGCACCACACCACGGCAAAGGAGATCAACATTGCCATATCACCTGCCACTTATGGGGGTTGAAGGTGGGACCTACTGAGCACCTGTAATGCCTTTAGAGTGACCAAAATGTACTTTTGTTTGCTACCTTTCCACACAGCTGGTGCACCCAGATAATCATCTGATCCATAGAGAGGCTTCCAGAGAAGCAAGTTTGTTACTCTCACCCTCACTCCTCATATCTTCCTCCACCTTGTTTTGTCCTTTGGAGCCATAAAAAAAATGTCTTTTCCAACTAACAGCCATTTAAAACATATGGGACATTTATGTTATGAATTTCAGCATATCACATATTTCATCTCATTTGATCCTCTGGCACAGCTACTCCTGTCTGCACTTGACTGACAGGAAAGAGATTCAGTGAAGTAAATGATCAGAGGCACATCACAGATGTGAAGCCGTTTCTGCTACCCCAGTGTTCTTCCATGCACAGTCCCTGGATCCCAGAATCACCTGAGATGTTTGTTGCAGATCCAGATTCCTAAGGGGCCACTCTGTTAGATATAAGAATGGAGCAGAAGTGTTGGTTTGGGATAGGAACCGACACATAATTACTCTTCAGGAATTAACTTTATTAGGAGAAAGGGCCTCAAGACCATGATGAGGCCTAATGATGGAGGAGCATCAGAAAGGAACAGAACAAATATATTAAAAACAGCATAATAAGGCCTAAAAGGGAAAGAGAGGTTCCCCTTTAAAATCTGGAGAAGAGATTCATTAAGGATAGATAGCTGAGGGAGCTGGAGAAATGGCTCAGTGGTTAGGAGTGCTTGGTGCTCTTGCAGAGAACCCGAGTTTGGTTCCCAGCATCCACACTGGGGCAGCTCACAACTGCCTGTAACTCCAGCTCCAGGGGATCCAATGCCTCTAGCCTCTGAGGACACCTGCACATGTGCACACACACACACACACGCACGCACGCACATAATTTTTAAAAATAAATCTTGTTTTAAAGGATGGGGCTGGAGGGATGGCTCAGTGGTTTAAAGCACTGGCAGAAGACCAAGGCTCTGTTCCCAGCTCCCACAGGTGGCTAACTATCCATAACTCCAGTTCTAGGGGATCTAATGCCCTCTTCTGGCTTCCACAGGCATTGCATGCACAGGTGCACTTACCTACATGCAGGCAAAACGCTCATAAATAATTTTTAAAAATTTAAAGGGATAACTGAAAGACTAAGAGAGAAACAGCCATGACAGAATTTGGATGGAGTGAAGGTGGAGAGGCACAGAGAAGACAGCCATCAGAGAAATCTCCCAAAGGAAATATCTGACTTTCATGTCTTTTCAGGGAATGATGGAAAGTTCTATATCACATGATTTAGTTCAATAGAGCATACCTGAGAAGCGGCTTGGTGAAGCCCAGGGCTGGTCAGGACAATCAATTAGGGGCTCTTGTTAGGCCACAGCACAAATAAATCTTAACTCTCCTAAGGGGTATGTGGCTGATCTACTCAGGCTGTGGGATCTAACCTCTTAGAGTGACAGATGTCTTAAAGGGGAAAACTAAGATCTAACAGACTCAATACCTGAAGTAGAATGTCTGGGGGTAAGAACACAGAAATCACATTGTAACACACACCTTTGATGACCTTAAATCTGTTGTGTGGAAGCGATGTTCTAACGTTTTTTAGAGCTGCTTCTTGATTTTTGGAAACGAAGGGGCTTTCCAATACATTTGACTTTAAGAAAATTGCACTGTACTCATTTCTAATAAGTTTTATTTAATTTTTATGGTTTAAAAAGTAAATTATTACATCTGCCCCATCCCACATTCCCTCCCCTATAATTCCTCCCCTATCCCCCCCCCCCATTTAACTTCATGGGCTCTCTCTCTCTTTTTTTTTTTAAACTCACAGAGTCCACTTAATTCTGTCAGTATGTATATTGGTGTGGGGTTCTCTATTGTGTAGCCTCTTGGGGCATCATTCCTAAAGAGAGGTGTCTCTTCCTCCACCAGCAGCCATCAAGTGAGGACAACAGCTCCTCAGTTAGGGCCAGAACTTTGTGACTCCCTCTCCATCCATGCTTGGACTTTGTCTGGCTTGATCGTATGCAGGTCTTGTGTATGCGGTCACAGCTGCAGTGAGTTCATGTGTGCAACAGTGAGACAGATAACCATGTCGAAAGGCTGTACTGAGGACCTAACTCCAGATGCCTAAGTTCCATTGCTAAAACACAAACAGCAACACCCCCCACCAAAAAAGTACCCCCAAATTACAGTTCATTTTGTTTTTTGAGATAAGGTCTCATATAGCCCACTGGCTTCAAACTCACCACGAGTCAAAGAAGCTTGAACTCGGGATCCTCCAGCATCTGCTCCCTGAGTGCTGGGGTTACAGGTGTGTACCACCGCACCCAGCAAAAGTTGCGCTTCCGTAAAGAACACATTGGTATGCATCAATGCCCAGAGCATGATGGGACTTTCCAAACGCTTTGAAACATCCCTCACATCTTTTTCTCTCTGCAGAAGGCTAAGCATCGGTCCTCTAAGCCTGGCAAGATGGGTGACTGGAGTTTCTTGGGGGAGTTCCTAGAGGAAGTCCACAAACACTCCACGGTGATCGGCAAGGTCTGGCTCACTGTCCTGTTCATATTTCGCATGCTGGTACTGGGCACCGCTGCGGAGTCTTCCTGGGGTGATGAGCAAGCTGACTTCCGGTGTGATACAATTCAACCTGGCTGCCAGAACGTCTGCTACGACCAAGCCTTCCCTATCTCCCACATTCGCTACTGGGTACTGCAGATTATCTTCGTCTCCACGCCATCTCTGGTGTACATGGGCCATGCCATGCACACCGTGCGTATGCAGGAAAAGCAGAAGCTACGGAATGCAGAGAAGGCCAAAGAGGTCCGTGGTGCTGGTGCCTACGAGTGCCCTGTGGCTGAGAAGGTGGAGCTGTCCTGCTGGGAGGAAGTGAATGGGAAGATTGTCCTCCAGGGCACTCTGCTCAACACCTACGTCTGCACGATCCTCATCCGCACCACCATGGAGGTGGCCTTCATCGTGGGCCAGTACCTCCTCTATGGGATCTTCCTGGACACGTTGCACGTGTGCCGCAGGAGTCCCTGCCCCCACCCGGTAAACTGTTACGTGTCCCGCCCCACGGAGAAGAATGTCTTCATTGTCTTTATGCTGGCGGTGGCCGCGCTGTCCCTCTTCCTCAGCCTGGCTGAGCTCTATTACTTGGGCTGGAAGAAGATCAGGCAGCACCTGGCAAAGTCGCGGCAGGGTGTGGCCGAGCGCCAGCTTCCAGGCCCTTCCACAGGCCTAGTCCAGAGCCACACTCCTCCCCCTGACTTCAGTCAGTGCCTGGAGAATGGCCCAGGAGGGAAGTTCTTCAGCCCCTTCAGCAATAATATGGGCTCCCAGCAGAACCCAGACACTCTGGCTACTGAGCTAGTGCCAGGCCAGGAGCAGGTTCCTGGGGAGGGCTTCGTCCACATGCATTATGACCAGAAGCTTGAGGAGCCCAATGGGGTCTCCCCAGGCCACCGCTTTCCTCATGGCTACCATAGTGACAAGCGCCGCCTCAGCAAGGCCAGCAGCAAAGCAAGGTCAGATGACCTATCAGTGTGACCTTCTTGGGGGGTGGGGGGCAGGACCAGATGGGAACACGGGAGACTCAGACTGGAACAACATGGCCCTGGTAGGCCTCACACTCTCATTTTCAGCCCTGCTCTGCTCCTTTTGGATCCCGGGTCTGGTCGGTATTGCCCATTGATTCTAAAATTAGAGTTCTGAGAGTGTAGTCAAAGGTAGGGCTAGTCATCAGGATCCCGTCCTTCCCCAACGTCTTCAAGATATGCCATGAAGTCTTTCATATGATTTATTGACTAGGGTAGAGGGAGAGAAGGGAACCATGGCAAAATCTGGCCTGGGAAGGACAGACACAGGATTCAACACCAGCAGCATATGAGGTACTTTATCCAAGTCCTCTGGCTTCCTGGATCAGCATGCTCTGCCTGTCTTTTTCAAGGAAGTGTCCAAAGTTCTCAGCCAATTGACAGTATCCATCAAAGAATTCGTATGTTCCCTTGAATCTGTTGTTTCCATAAGCCATATCTTGGGGTGGTGATGAGGTGTCTGGGAGCTGCCCTAGGCTCCAACTTTCTCCTCCCAGTCTTAAAGAGAGATTCTTAGACCTTGACCAGCAACAGCTTTACAAGTGCCTTGGTATGTACTTTTGGCAAACATCTCATGTTGGTGATGTTGCAGCCCTTCTCCTAAGGTGGACACCCAGCTTTTGAGTGTGCCAAGCCCTCTTAGGAGTCACTGTACACACAAACATCACTGGAATTCCTGCCCCCGCCTGTCATCCCGTAGATCTGTGGTTCCGTTACAGTTCAACCTGATGATGGAATCATGCTTGCCCTACTTGGTTGGCTGTTCACCCAATGTCCCTCTAAAGACTTTATCAGCAGGAATGCCCAAGAAGCCATCTTCTCTTGGATCCAGACCAGATTACCAGTCATCAAGGCCAGTGGAATTTCCCTAGGCCTTAATAAAATGAGAGCATTGTGCTTCTCAGGTTCTCCTGGGAAAGAGTAATTCTGTTAAGAAGATGAAAATAAAAAATAATAGTAGGGGAGAAGACACTAGAAGACACAACTTTTCTTCCCTATTTATTTCTATCATCGTCGGCCAACTTAGAATGCCAAGAGGGGCTGTGATGACAGCTGCGGAAGCCCTTAGATTGCCCTCAGCAGGGGCATGGAAGCAGGAGAGGAATCTCCAGCTTTCTTGGCAAGGCCCTTGTTTAAAGTGGGCAGAGATTTCTATGTTTCCCTGGTACTCCTAAGAGGACAGCAAAAGGAGCCCTGCCTTCCCCAGGTCTAGCCTGCGGTCTCTGTTGAGTGGTCCATTTTTGATGCAAATGAAACATGCTCAGAATCAAATACTGAGGCTTACAGACACACCACTACATTAAAAAAAAAATCCGTGTGTGTGTGTGTGTATGTGTGTGTGTGTGTGTGTGTGTCTGCGTGCGTGTTTGTGTGTGTGTATGTGTGTGTGTGTGTGTGTGTGTGTGTGTCTGCGTGCATGCGCGCACACATGCATGCACGTGTACGCATGTGATAGGGTGGTAAAGAAAAGTCCTGAAGAAAGATTAGGAAATGTATAGGCAAACGTGTCTTTCTGCCTCCTTTCCAGTGGTCTGGCAGGGGGCTGAGCTTCCCTATTTGAATTAGCCTAAAGGAATAGGCGAGAGAAGTCAGGACAGAGAAGGGTGAAGGTTCAGAGGTCAGCCCATCTCTGGGCCCCTCGCTGGTATTTGGATACTATTGATGGGTAGAAGAGTAGAGATGGAATGGAATTGACTGGTATACTATTTAGGAAAGAATGACTGGTTATTCTCGGCCCCCTACACATCTTATCTTTTATCTGACACTGGCATTAAGATTCACTGTTCTTTTATCTGCGAAATGTATTTTTATTAGAGTGTTTTTTAATTTAGAAATCTGAGATCAGTCCTTGATGGTAAAGTTTTCAGAAAGGAAAAATAAGTAGTGTGTTTAACTTGTCTTAAGTAAAATCTGTCTCTACATTGTTGCTCTGGTTTGTGTCTCTTTCATGCTGTGACTGTGAGGGTGGCAGACTTGATGGATGAAGAAGAATGCTTTGGAGTCAGACATACATCCAAGAGTTAAAATCCCATCTGCTGGTCTGTATCTGGACTGCAGTGAGCTACTTGGTATCTGAAGCTTTGTTTCTTACCTGTGAATAGGATCCAGTACTATCTACCTCATAAGGCTGTTACTAGAGACTGTTTATGAAGGGAACAGTGGACTCTTTCAAGCATAGCAGTTTGCTGTTCAATGATAATCACTGTTATTATTTTGGGCACATAGTGTTTGAGAATCTGGAGTTAAGGGATGATTCTAGAACTTCACCTTTTGGAACTCACAGTTTGATCTACGTAAGATGATCACATTAACTCACATAAAGAAACAATTAGGGGACTGGAGAAATGGCTGATCAGGTAAGAGCACTTGCTCTACTAGCATTAAGACCTGAGTTCAAATCCCTAGCACCCACATATAAAGCTAGGCATGGCCATGCACCTATGACCTCAGCACTGGTAAGGAGGCAGTGGTGGAAAGGATTGCTGGGGCTTGCTGGTCACCAGCCTAGCTTCAGGAACAGGGAGAGACCCTGTGTCAAGGGATGGAAGGCAGGACTCCTGATGTCTGTTCTACTGTAACCTCCGTGGGTGTATACCTGTGCATACAAATGTGCTTACAACCAAAAGGGAGGGAGGGAAGGAGGGAGGGAGGGAGGGAGGGAGGGAAAGAAAGAATTAGACTATTCATTTTTATTGTTTCTAAGAAGTGATGACTATTAAAACAAATAAACAGTACAAATAAACACTGGACTCAAATGAGTAGCTTTAGAAAAGCGTAAGCCAGGGCTGGAGAGATGGCTCAGCAGTTAGGAGCATGGACTGCTCTTACAGAGGACACGGGTTTGATTCCCAGCACCCACATGGAGGCTAACAACTGCCCTAAACTCCAGTTCCAGGGGACATGGCACCCGCTTCTGACCTCCGTGGGCACTCCACTCCATGGGGTGCACTTATACACATGCAGGCAATACATTCGTACACATAAAATAAAAATAATAGATAAAATTAAGAAAAAGAAAAGCAGAAGCCTTTGACTGGGGGAGATAGTTCAGCGGTAAAGTGCTTGCTTTGCAAGTGTGGGAACTTTAGTCCAGCCCCAGAACCTATATTTTTAAAAAAGGAAGGCATGGAGGCATGTGCTTGTAATCCCAGCAGTGGGGAGACAGAAACAGGCAGATCCCTGGGGCTCACCAGCCAGCCAGCCTATCCTACTTGATGAAGTCCAGGTGAGTGAGAGACCGTGTCTCAAAAAAAGAGCAAGGTTCAATGGTTCTTGAGGAATGACGATTGAGTTTATCCTTTCTCCACATCTACACACACCCACACCCCGCCCCCCACACCCACACCCACACCCACATCATCACAAAAAAGGGAACAAAAGGAGATGAGTTTATCCTTTCTCCACATCTACACACACCCACACCCCGCCTCCCACACCCACACCCACATCATCACAAAAAAGGGAACAAAAGGAGAAAAATGGAGACTTCAAAGATGAATTCCATGAACTAGATTTTAGTATCCCTGTTTTATAGACATGGAAACTGAGACACGGGAAGGTGCTCCAGCAATGGTGTGCCTTCTCACTAGCCTCTGATTGGGATCACATGTCTTTGAAAGTAGAGAAATAATTCATGCTCCAAAAAGGGTCAAAGGACCCTCTTAGCCCTTCACCAAATAGGCAGCAGCCGCTTTTGAAAGAAACAAAAGGAGAGGAGAGATGAACAGAGGCTTCATCTTCCCGACCAAGCAGCACTGTTTATCACAGCAGGCAGGCTTTTTTGAAGAGACCTTGCAGAAAGATCATAATACATACATTATCGCATTTGTGTTGGGACTCAGGTGGGCACCTAGCACCTGTCCAGGGGTAAGGTACTGTGCTCAGCCCAGTGGGGCCTGAGTTGTTCTGCTGGAGAAAGGACCCATGACTCATTTTTTTCTACTGGAAAAAAAATAGTACGTCTCCTAGTTTTATAAACATTATGACATTATAGTTCATATGACGCTCAGATTGCAAAAGCCTGGGTAATTTATTTCATGTAAAAGCGCAACTTTGTTGATGTTTACTCTCAGTTTCTCTCCTCTATCAAGGGTGTATCACTCAAGAATAAACACACTCTTCTTCCTCTAATGCCAGTTAGGAATTTCTACCGGGGCTGGAGAGTTGGCCCAGTGCTTAAGAGTACTTGCTGTTCTTTCAGAGGACCCGAGTTCCCAGCACCCACCTTGGGTGACTCACAGCCACCTGTAACTCCAGCTCCAGGGAATCTTATGGTCTCTTCTACCCTCCAAGGGCACCTGCATGCTTGTGTGCACCCATAAATAATGAAATAAATCTTTTTTTAAATGAATTTTTACCGTGGAGTTTCATTTCAATGGCTGGAAAGTTTTCAGTGATTAAATGTTAGAATCACTTCTTTGAAGAATCATAATATGAATGAGTCCAAGTTTTTCTCCCCTAATGGCAAATTTTGATAGCAGAGAGAAAAATGCACATTGGCACTAGGCACTTTGCAAATATTATTTTTCTTTTTTTAAATTGAATTTTGTGCATTTCATACAATACATCTTAATCGTATTTAGAACTCCTTCCTTATTTGAACTCCCCCATTGTCTCCCCTGCTAGATTTCATTTCATTCTGTCATATATGTTAAGGCCTATTAAGTCAAGTTTGTGTCCCCAGATGTCCTTCAGTGTGAGTTCATCCACTGGAGCCTATCTAGTCAGCCTATCTAGCATCACTCCCTTAAAGAAGATCAAGTCTCCCTCACTCAGCAGTGATCAGTTGCCAATAGTTCCTCAGCTAAGGTTGTGGTCTCCTGCCCGTTTCCCCAGTTCTATGTTGGGTTTTTGTCTGCTTTGAGTTTGCATGGGTCTTGTGCATGCTGACACCATTGCTATAAGTTCATATTAGCAAGTTCCCAGTCACCTGAAAAACTTTCTTTCCTTATGGTCATCCACCACCCCTTGTTCTTACAGTTTTTCTGCTTCCAAATATTTTGAAAGATTGTTTTATGATATTCAAATGAGAGAAATTGTGAGTCTGAGGGAAGTGCCCAAAATGAACTCCAATCTCCAGAGATTCCTGAATCCTCTGGAGTCAGCCCACATATTGGTCCTTAGTAATAAACAGAATTTGAAAAAAAAAAAAGAGAGAGATCTAGATAGAATAATAGGACTAGTGGTTTTTCTTGTGAGTCAGAAATTGGTAGAGACTAAGTTTCTAATCATTGTTTTAATTGGAAAGGAAAAAAAACTTGCTTTCAACATTTTTTGTTTGTTTGACATAGGATCTTATGTAGCTCTGGCTGGCCTTGAACTCTCTGTGTAGCTAAGAGTGTCTTGAATTCCCGATTCTCCTACCTCTACCTCCTGAGTGCTGGGTTCATAGGCATTACCACCATACCCAGTGAACGGTGGTTTTGAGCTAGACTTTATGTCAGGCTTTAGGAATACAGCTTTACAAATCATATACGGCTCCTGCCCTTTCTAGCTTACAGTCTAGTGGGGGAAGACCCTGTAATGCAAGTGAACAAAGAGATCACAGAATTTCAGATTATGTTAAGTGTCATGAAGGAAACAAACTGGGGACTGACAAAGGCTGGGGCTGGGCTTCTTCAGGCAGGGTGGGTAGAGTCTTTCAGGAGGAGGTAGTATTGAAACTGACACCTGACAGCTGCGAAGCCAGCTGCTAATCAGCGAGGGAGAAGCCAATTGGGGAATCCAAAGTCCTTCTAGGAAACTCCAGAATATAGTTAGCTGTCCCTTATCTCAGAGTCAGGCCTAACAATTCAAAGATACAGAGCTCGAACAGCACCTAAAACATAGCAGTTTGGCACCAATTGTTGCAAAACCACATACCTTTTTCTATAAACACCTCCAGGCACAGAAACTTTTTTATTGTTGCAAGCAAAAGGAATATTTAGAAAATATTTGAATGAAAGCAACAGAACACCATACGTTAAGCTACAAAAAGCTCCACTAACTACAATTATTTCCACCAGTATCAATTCTTACAACATCCTTGGGCCTTCTAAGCTAGGCTTGTTCCCTGGAGTGGAGGTGGGAAAGGGGGATGCCACTGTTGCAAGACAACCCTAGCTGCAGGCTGGGAAGGGAATCTGGATGGCTGGCAGAAGGAGGTTGGGAAGAAGCCAGCAGGGCGTGGTCCAGAGTAGCTCTGGCATCAGAGAAGTCAAAGCAACAAAACCTCAAGCACACAGAAAGGCAGGAGTGGGGGCAGTGGAGGCCACATTAGAGAAGCCAGACTACAGAAGACGTGGTGTACAACACCAGTCAGCCAGGGACCCGTGGCTGGGAGGACCAGAGCCCCTGGTCTGGAATCAGAGGCAGA